TATAATGTATGCCAACTTGGTTAACACTGCCACCTTTTGGCAACAAAATGTACAGGATAATAAAAGAAATGGTAAAGAAATAAGAGAAGTACTTGCCTTCATTTTTGCATCAATCCATTTCATACTTGTGGCAGCTTAAAAGAGAAAACACATTATGTGTGTTAATTAGTAATGAATTAAATCATGAAAGAAAAAAATAACAATTAAACACAACACAATGTCTACACACACCCAAGCACAAGAGGCATCTCAGTGAGAGGACGCGGTTCTCCAAACACATACTGGACATTTAATTGGGTATTTACCACCATTACAAAAATGGGCGAGCTCAGTCTGTTTTTTTTGGTTGGTTTTTTTTGTTCTTCTTGGTGGATCAGATGCTCAATTTGGGCCAAAACATCAGGAATTAACTAGACAGACATATTTATACGAAAACCCCACACTCTAACACAAAAGAAAGGAACCACTGCCACAGACAAGGGAAAGAGACGGACAGATACGTACACCAAATTACAATATCGTAGTCCTCATAGGCTGATGTCAGGAACTCGTGAAGGTAGGGTCTCATCAGCTCCTGACCTGTTTCTGCACATGACTTGTGATCTGAACACACACAGGATTATTGTATGGGTGTTCATGGTAAAACAAGCAGCTGATAAACAGACAGTAACTGCAAAGCCTCCTCTTTTGTTTCTTGCAAAGCATCTTATTAAAGAGACACATGATGATATCAACTCACCAAACAGTGTGTAGTCCACATCCAGAACCAGGAGCCTCTTGCCTTCTCTAGGAGGGTTTAGTTCCTCTACCTTGTACTCTTTGACTCTTCTAGCTATTTTTGCCAGGTTCTCCTCTCTGAAGACATAAAACAATATTTGTTTCTCAAATGCACCCACACATCCACACGCAAAGACAGGTTTCCTTCAACAATTTCTAAAATTCTGACAGACCTGTTCTCCACTTCAATGACCTCCTCCTCAATGTCAAAATCATTGACAACGTCATCATTCTCTGGTGGAGGGGCTAAAACGTCTTCCTTCACGAAACAAAATATGTGCACGGTTAAAACTGTATCAGTCAGTACATTATACCCATAGCATATATCCCTCAAAAATGTCAACGGCTGTCAGATCTTCACCTAAACAACCATTTTCTGATCCATTAATCAAAGCTAGCTGATTCCAAAATCCTGACTAAACAGATTATTTACAAGTTACCCCTCACCTCTCTTGTCTAGTAAACCTGAACACTAGCCAGGCACACAGTCCTTCTATAATAGTTCCAGCCAGATATATTTTTTTTCATTTTCTCTATCCACCTACCAGACTCTCCTCTCTGGTACCCATCATCATGATCTTGGTATTAGGCTTCAACTTCAACGAGCCCAGCTTCATCTCATCCTCTGCTGGTTTACCTG